TCCTATAGCAGGGAGACCAGAATTGCATGCAGTATTCCAAAAGTGGCCTAACCAATGTGCTGTACAGCCTCAACCTGACCTCCAAACTCCTATACTCAATGCCCTGACCAATAGAGGCAAGCGTACCAAATGCCTTCTTCACTATCCTATCGACCTGCGACTCCACTTTCAAGGAAGTGGACAAGATGTTTTCAGTAAACGTTCAACATATTCTTTATAAGTTAAGTTGTAATCTCATTACATTCAACGAAGAGGAAAAATTATCCTATTTTAGATCTTTGTGATATTTTTAACAATGACAATCATAAATTTGCTAACTTTAATTTTCCTCTCAATGTAATTTTCTCTTTAACATTTTCCTAAATTATGTGCGATATACAACAGTGAACTTAAAGCTCAACTTTTTTGTTATTGGTTTTAACTTTTCTGGTGTTAACTAATACCAACTTGAGGAATATTGTTCATTATTCTGGCCTGTCTAATGATCTTTGAAAAAGGGAGACTTAAAACTCAGGATCAGCAAAGCAATGGTTGCCAACTAAAGTCCCAAAGCTTGTTTTTCTTTAAGTCATTCATGGGGTATGGGCATTGCTGACAAGATAATAATTTATTGCCATCCCTATTTACACTTCAGATGGTTATGGTGAGTTGCCTTCTTGAACCGTGACAGGTCACTTGTTGTGGGTTGGCCCAAAGTGCCGTTTGGGAGGGAGTTGCCTCCTAGTGACACTGAAGGAACGGTGATATATTTCCAATTCTGGATGCTGCGTGGTTTGAAGGGGAACTTGTAGGCAGTGGGTTTCCCATTCATCTGCTGCACTTGTCTTCCTGGATGGTATGGTCGTGAGTTTGGAAGATTCTAAGGAGACTTAGTAACATCTTAAGTGCATTTTGTAGAGGGGCAGACTATAAGAGGTGGTGGTGTTCCCATGCATCTAGTGCCTCGCTCTTTCTAGTTGGTAGAGGTCAGGTGTTCAGCTTTTTGACTCAACAAGTGACTGGCAACCTACCCAGAACACCCAGTTTCCACCTCTCTGAACAAGAACTATAGTCTGAATGCTTTGTTCCTAAGGTGGGAGCACAGAGTAAAGCAATTCCTGACTTCACAAGCCTAAGTCAGGAGAAAGTGGCAGGGAATTTGAGATTTTCATTTCAGCGAGGCAGGAGTTCCCTGGGAGTTAAGACCTGGTGACCCTGGAAGGTGTGCAGGGGTTGCTGAGTGCAGAAGTGTGTTGGATGGAAGGCCTACCTCCATAGATGGGCACGGTTACCAAACCATGCACCAAAATCACACAAGTAGAGGCGACTACTGATTCATATAGATGTGAAATGTGACCCAAACTTATTCCCACAGCCACTGAAATGGGAGCTGTCACGTTTGCCAGAATTGACGAAAATTCAGGCCTATGACTGGCCTTTTATAGCGTTGTACGTTTTAATCAAATTTTGTCTGTTACATTAATCGTTGGGAAACATCAATTCAAATTTCTATATCTATTGTCACTATTTGTCAAGATAACCATAATCTATTAAAAAAAAACCCAACAAACTGCAGGTGCCCGAAATCTGAAACAAAAACAGAAATTGCTGAGTTATGAAGAAGAGTCGCTGGACCCGAAATGTTAATCACAGAATCCCGACGGTGTGGAAGTAGGCCATTCGGCCCATCAAATCCACACTAACCCTCTGAACAGCGTCCCACCCAAATCCATCCCCCTACCCTATCCCCATAACCCCACATTTCCCATGGCTAACCCACCTAGCCTGCACATCCCTGGACACTATGGGCAATTTTGCACTATGCACATCTTTGGACTGCGGGAGGAGACCAATACAGACACGAGGAGAATGTACAAACTCCACAGATAGTCGTCCGAGGGTGGAATTGAATATGGGTGCCTGGTGCTGTGAGGCAGCAGTGCTAACCACGGTGCTGTCGAACTCTGCTTTCTATCCATAGATGATGCCAGACTTGCTGTTTTTTCTTTCAAGCAATTTCTGTTTTTGTAACAATAACATATCTTTGACTGTGCCTGTACTGGAGCAGTAGGCTCTTTTGCTGTTCATCTACATTTAACAATCAAGTGAGACTGTGCGTCCTGATATGCCACCTAACTCCACCTTTGTCCCTTAATATGTTTGAATATGAAAAATCTTATCAATCACAGATTTAAAATTTAGAATCTATTTAGCATTGGCTGCCGTTTGCAGGACAGAGTTCTGAACTTCAACTGAGTGTGTTTCTACCTCACTCCTTTGCTTTAATTTCAGACAAAACCCCTTTGTCCCAGATTCTTCAATAAGAAAGCTCCTGTCCATCTATTCTATCTGCTCCTTTTCGTAGCTTGAGAATGTTAGGCAAAATGCTCCTTAACTTTCTAAGATTCAGACAATACAACTCTAATTTGTATAATGTCCCTGCAGAATTTAACCCTTGCAGTCCAGTTATCAATATTATAAATCCATGTTGCACTCCCTCCAATATCCATATATCCTTAATGAGTTGAGGTATTCTCATGATGCTCCAGGTACGATCTAATCAGTATAGCTGAAATGTCTTGTACTCCCTTTATTTCAGTTCACTGGGAATAAAGGCCAGCAGTTTGTAAGATGTTTATAATCAAACATGGCCCCATTAAACAGTTAATTTACTTTATATTGAACAGTTAGAGACAACACAGCTTTAAGCAAGGAAGTTATAGATTATTGGGATCATCTTTCAAACAGTGAAGTTCCCAAATGGCACGAACATTTCCTGAAATTATTCCCCGATCAAACCAGCAATATAATTTATGTCAGCGTTCATGTGTTATATCTGAAGCCAATGCTGTCTGATCCAGTATTGTCAGGCTGATTGGATTTGACTGCTATCAATTTCATATATCAGAGTGAACAAATAAAACCTTTGCCTTTTTATTGCAGCTCACGTTCCAATCCATCCACAGTCTACAAATTCACAAGGAGTTGCTTGGAACTACGATGAGATCCTGTCAGTGTTGCACGCACACACGAGTGTCGTGTGTTTTCTGGCAGGACATGACCACAATGGTGGTTACTGCTTGGATGGCCACGGAATTCACCATCTTACATTGGAAGGTGTGATTGAAACACCGCCAGAGAGCCATGCATTTGGAACTATCTATGTATATGATGACAGAATGATTGTAAAAGGAAGAGGCAGGATTCAGGACAGGATTCTACACTACAAGAAAATCTGAATCAAGTAATTTTTAACACATCATAGACATGTCAATGTGCTGTACTAGATGAATACAATGTAAAAACAGGTAGGTGGGATCAAAATTAGATCATTGCCTGCTAAATGTAGTAGCACCTACAGATTAAAATCTCAGATCCTAAGAGAGTGATGCTGTCTGCTGTGTATCAAGTATCTGTGTCTTTATTTCAAGGTTGTGTGAACAGTTGAAAGAATTAGCTTCCTGCCTTGTATAATCAAATGTTGTCCCAGATTTCTTGCTTACTTACTGATCTGAAAGGTTTTGCTTCAAGTCTTACTCAACATTTCAGCGCATAACCTAGGCTAACAAACAGTACCAGTGAGATGATTAAGGCATTTTTTCTGCAAGAGCAGGAGAGCCCCTCCAGGGTCCTAGTCAATATTTATCCCTGAACCAGCGTCACTAACCAAAAACAGGTTATCTGTTCATTAACCACATAATGTTTGTGGGAACAGGGCTGCTGTGTCAATTCTACATTAAAATAGTGACCACATCATATTTAGTGGTTTGGGACAAGCTGAACACAAATGCAAAAGTTTCCTTTTCCCAAGAAATCTTGAAAGGATGTTTAAAATTCTCAGAAGGCTTCCATTTGGCAAGTGACTCACAATCAGCTCTTGGGCTGATCCAGAATCATAGCCATGTAGATTGATACTGGAAGGGACCGTCAGAGTATAGCACTGTGTTCAAAGGCAGGGCAATCCTAATAGCACAACTGGAATAAAATATTAAATTGTTAAATTTATCATTTTATGTTTCTCACTTTACAGTTGTGATACATTTATTATTTTCAACTAAAGTTCACCTTTTTTTTTTAGTAGGAGAGATTTATAGATAACTAGCGAATTCAAACTGAGGAAGTGTCCAACAATATAGATCAGTACTTAAAATTTTGAATCATCAACTGAAAGTCTACTATTGACCAAATGGTCCAACTTGTAAAAGCCCCATAAAATAAATATTAATATAGTTTGCTGTTCCTAACTTTGAGGAAATAGTGACAATCCAGTGTAAATGAAGGCAGAGAAAGGCTTGCACAGGATAGGGTGATAATAGATGGGTAGGCTCCTGCAAATCCAATGCTAGCACAATGGAATTTTGAATCACTGAAGTTCACGTGCAGCAATGAGCTGACTGGCTGAAGTTTTCCCACAGTTCATCTGAATATTTATTCATAAACAACTATTCCATTTTTGTCCTTGTACAGAGATAGATCACAATGGGGAAGGTAGAGACTCTCTCTCGCAGATCCAATCTCAAATGATGTGTCTGAAAACAGAATCCACCATACAACAGCCTTCAAAATAAACTTCAGAGACTTGTCAAAATGCCCACATCCCAAGAATGAATTGTTAAAAATTTGATAGGCTGGAATGTAATTGAGGTTATTTTTTTATTTACACTTGTCGCTCTTTATCTGCTCCATTCAATACTTTTTAAAAATAATAATATTTTTTCTCTCTACAGCATAAATGTCTCTGAAGTTAACAATAGCAAAGGTCATCTTTGGAAAGCACTGGCCCAAATTTAGAGACCAGCAGTGATGTGATAGCATTCACTGCTATCCTCAAAGAAATCTACCTACAAAAATCTAGCAATCTCTGTAGACTTCCATCTTTCTACCATCTGTTTGAATCTGGTTCCCAGTCAAGGGAAACCTCCAGGTTTCCAGTAACAGCAGTATCATTGAGCAGGGTAAGCAGCCAAGCACACTGTAGCGTTCTCATATGAAGAGCACACTAGAAAGTAAAATGCACTGAATATGATCTTTAAATTTTAATTAAATTTCACAAAAAGGCAAAATAAATAATTAAAACGTATACATAGGATTAAACGTACAACACATTTAGTTAATAAAAATGAAAAATCTGACTTTTATCATCATCGAGAAATTCAACATTTAGTAAATTTAAAAAATCAGTTTTTCAGGACTAGCAAGGCTTATAAGCAGTAAATATGAACTTAAAATACCAATTCAAAAGGTGTTCAACTAGATATTTTAAATTCACTTTAGTTTATATTTGAGTAGGTCTATGCCTAGCCTTAGTTATCACTCATGTAAATTCATAGGTGGGACAAAAGCTGTTCAAATTGTGGAAATGACTGAATAAAATGATTTCCAATGTGACTTAGACTTGGTGAGACAAACACAAATGTGTTATGAATCTCAACTGCAGTAACCAACAAGACTGTGTAAAAGAAGTGACATTATATAACAATGTCAACAACGTTTATTTTGGCTGGAAGCTTGTGAAGAGTTGTTTCCTCATACTACAGTAAATTTTAAAACTGCTGACTTCAATTAAAATAACTAATTCACAATAACATTGTTACAGATGGACCTACCCTCCATGCTGTATATACAAACATACACTGCTTCCAAAACAAAATTGTGTAAAATCCATTAGCCACAGCAAACCTGTTGCTTTCTATTAGATCTATGACACCTGCCATAAAGGATGAGCTTGTTAGACCCAGCAATTATGAAATGATCCTAACCATTGTTGTACATTGATTGCAGATAGAAATTTTGAGATCTAAGATTTATTGCTGCTCACTATATCAAACATAATAGTGTTTAGCTCAAACTGCTAACGCAATGAAAACTTCATTGCAAAAATGTTTCAACATAAACTAAATGCTGATGAGAAATGTGGTTTCAGTTTGCAGCCTTCTGATTCAGAGATGTCAAATTGACACATACATTACAAAATTAACATAATTTAACTTTTAATTAATACTAAATTAAGTACAATATAGAGAAAAGTAATTCTCTTTCGTGTATCTAAATCAGCCAGACTGGCAGCCCTAAAGAACAAATAAAACCCATTTGTTCAGTTTTAGGTTCAATCCATTTCAACCTTGTTCAAGGCCCTCCACTTGGTCCACTGGTTGGTTTATATCCATTTTAAATGGTGTTCCTGCAGTGATCTGGCCAGGATGCTCGTAGTTCTTTATTGATGTAGTAATATAGCCATGTTATGAATGGCAGGACTGTAATGAGAACCGCAATGGAAAGTCTGAAGCCACCAAGGTGCCTGCACAATACAACAGAATCTTATTCAATTCATCTCTATCTGAGATTACACAATGGAATAATCTGCGATTTAGTGATTTTTCTTAACTAGTTCATTAGGAGTTGAAATCTACACCATGACTCAGCATAAAAACTTCAGGTTCTCATCGATATGAACCATTAAGATCATGCAAAAATTATAGAATGTTATTTTAAATCAACCTGTTTATATATAGCTCTGGAGCAGGTAGGACTTGAACCTGGGTTTCCTGACTCAGAGGAACACGACCACTCTGCCACAAGAGCCTCCAAATTGCTGTTTATTATTTTTATTCATTCATGGGATGTTAGTATCACAGCCTGGGCCATCTTTTGAATTTTTCTTAAATTAATTGGTTCAGAGATGTTAAGACACACCTCTGGAACAGCTGAGATTTGAACCTTGATCTTCTGTCTCAGAGGCAGGCACACTACCACTACACCACAAGAACCCACAAACTTCTGACTGTATTAACTGACGTTAAGTACATTTGGTAAAAGACTTTTAATCTATGTTACTTGGGCCCAAATAAAGAGACAGTTACCAGCACAGGATGAGAATGCAGTCAGGAGATATATATACCTGTAATGTTTCACCCTGTGAATTAGTCAATTCAAAGCTTGTGTTTGATTTCTTTAATCACAAACTGGTTATCAGGAACAATAAACATTCCTCCAGCAAGTTTTTACATGTTCAAGTTAATGGGGAAGCACTTTGTTTTTTAAAGTATTTTTCTACATTACTATTATTCTTTAACATATCCGAGATCAACTTACATGGTAACCCTCAAAACCTTGAAAAATCCCTTCAAAATATGGGTCAATTTATATGCTGAGTATCAAATCACCTAGTGTGGGTGATTACCATTTTGAAATGTTGTCTGCTTCCAATGCAAAGATTAGGAACGAGTTTGATGTTTCTTAAATTAACTGGTTCAGAGATGTTACAACACACCTCTGGAATAGCTGGGATTTGAACTTTGATCTCCTACCTCAGGGGCAGGCACATTACCACTGCACCACAAGAATCCTCAAATTGAGGACTGTATTAACTGAGGTTACGTACATACAGGTGAAGGCATTTAATCGATGATTACTTGAGCGCGTATAAAGGGACAGTTCACCTTTCTGTTCACAAAGGCATTGGCCGCACGGGCTACTGGCTCCTTAGTCACATAGCTGTCTTCACTGGTAGTGGTGTGTTAATACAGTTATTTGCACACCTGATATTTTTACTGTGTCTCATGCCTGCACATGCTCAACAAGGGTGCTGGGGGAGAAGGGAAAAAAAATACAACTAGGAGTTTAGATCGCTTCAGAAGAAGAAGTATAAAGGGACAGTTACCTGCAGGCTGAGAGTACAGTCAGGAGATACAAACCTTTAATGTTTCACTATGTGAATAAGTCTATTATTTAATCACCAACTGGTTACTCTCGTGCGTCTGAGCACACAGCCTTTACCACTGGCTTGATCACATAGGCCCAGCTATAAAGGTGCTGGTAAATAAACATGCATTTAGGGGGATAAAAATTGAAGATGACTATTCACGTAAGTATAGCATGTTGTGACTGAAGGTTGAGGGAGATTACAATTATTCGTTTAGAATGTGCAAAAATTGCAAAAAGGGATAGACTTATACATCATGCTTTATGGGTACATTTATCAAGAACGCACAAGAAAATGAGATGGGCTGCAGGCTGACTGCAGAAAGCACAGGGAGGAAGGATTCTCAACCAAACAGAGACACCAAATGGGTGGACAAACAGGAGGCTGAAAGAACACAGCAGGCCAGGCAGCATCTGGAGGAAAGAAGAAGTTAATGTTTCAGGTATTGCCCTTCAAGAATACATTAGAGAGTCAGTTTCTTTTTCCTTTTAAAAAAATGCCAAAGTTTGCTGCTATACTAGATCTAGTTGTGTGCTTTGTAAAATCACAATGATGCTGAATGACGAAATAAGCGAAATTTAACTCAAATATTTCCATAAATGCAGAAGAGGTTGCTGCATTTTTAAAGGACTAGTGGATACCCTCTGGGTAGTCTGTGGTGTGAAGCACCTGCAATGTTTAACATCTAGTCTGTCCTTTTAAGACCAACAGGATCTTTTGCATAACAAAGTGCAGTACTGTAAACAGAACATGATATTATCTTCCTACCAGGCTGATAGAATTCATTAACAAGTACTACTGAATGAAAATTCATTGATACAAGGATCTTAGGATCCAACTGCTCTGAAGGATGAGAGATTCCAGACTCTCAGTTAGCTGCTTCCTCTATCTGTGTTAATGCTATATTGGAAAGCATAGGCTTGTGGTCAGCTAGTTTGAAACAAAAATCTTCTACTTTTAGAGGTTTGGGACAGAATATTTTTGAAATGAATAAATTTGATCAAACCTAGAGTATGAATTATTCAATGTGGCTATCAGTTAGAGGGCTTGTTTGAAAGATATTGAACTGTACTCACTTCCCTGAATGTCGACACAAAAGAGTCCATATAACAATAATAATTAATCCCAGAAACTCCCTGTGAGACAAACCACAGTAATAGAGAAAGAAACAAAATTAGTAATTTCACAAAACAGCTTCATGGCTTAAAGGCAGCAAAACAATTATTAAACAAATTATACAATGACATCTCATGTAATAAGAAACTTACACCTATGTAAAATGGAAAAAGCAGAAGTCCAACGTAAAAAAAGACAGTGTTCCAAGATAATGAACCTCTTTTCAAAGTAGCATTCATAGAAAACTAACTTGCAATTGAACACCTTCTCATGTCTTTGGGACAGTGCTAAGCACTTTACTGCTTATTGAAGTGCAGCTACTGTCATACAGGGGAACCCAACTGGGACATGGTGAAGTCCCACAAACAGCAATGGGCTCTTTTACAACCAGCAGGCCAGCCAGATAGACCTCAATCAAATACATCATCTTAAGAATGGCATCTCTGACAATGCAGCACTTCATCCATACTGCAGTGTCAGCCTGGATCATATGACATTTTAGACGTTCACAATCTTCTCATTTACAGCTGCAAGTGGTACCAATTGTGCAAAACTGAAGATTAACAGCAAAGTTACCCACATTGCCAAGTGTCTAGACCACAATCAGCCTGGGTACAAGACCAGGGAGAATCAAGTTCTGTGAACTATTTTGGACATGACTTGTAAAATATAAATGGGCAAAAATTAGACAAAGTGAGAGCACAGAGGACTAATTTCACTTGTATAGCACATTTAAGGTAGAAAATGAACCAAACGTGCTTGATTATTACTGAAAAGCGAGATCTGTTGCCAAAGCTCTTTACCTTGAACAGATCATGACAAACACAAGAATGCCAAATTTCGAATGATCACGACCGTTTATGTTCTGGGAAGAAAGGGGGGTGGGGCATGAAAACTGATTGGTTGAAGTGTTGGAACAACAGGGAACTATAGGCTCCACAAGCTCCTGGGTCATTGAAAAAGGCAAACAGTTTGAAAACATATTCCTTTCATTTGGAGAGAAGTCTCCTGCAGTATAGGTTGCAGTGATTAGTTGAAATCTGGAATTCTTGCAAATAATAAGTGCAAAATGGAAAGCTTTGGCAATGTCTGTCCTTTCAGCAATACTCACACAGGCTTGCTTCTAAATGAGTGACAGACATAAGGCGAAATGTTATTGTTTGTGTCAGTAGCATTGTTAAAATGGAAGCTGTGTACCGTCCTTCCTCCTCTTGGAAAATGTTATTCTTTGAAGCTCGATGAAGCCACCAGCCCCACAGGATTGCGACCATGGAACACATGTACATATGCAATTCTGAGAGACTTCTCCAAATGAAGTTGTCTACAAAAGGTCAGAAGGTAGAAGAGATGATATACTGAGAGACGCAAGATAAACATTTCAGATAAGCAACTTCAAAGTATATCCCATCCCTTTCATTGCTGTCATTGGAATGAATGAAAGACCTTGCAGTTATATAGGACACCTTCCACAGACTCGAGATATTCAAAAGCATTTCTCAATCACTGGTGTTTGATGTGTTAGCAGTCTTGAAATGAAAGGAACTGCAGTTAAACCACTTGCACACCAGAAAGTCCCACAAATAATAATATTGCAAAAGACTGGTTCATCTATTTCAGTGACAGTAGTTAATTTGTTAAAAGCTGCCGCACATTTTAAGAGAAGGTACCTGCTCTACAAAGCTGTGCTATCTGTGAAGGAAGGCAAGGCCTTGGTTTAGCTTCACATTTGAAAGATAGCAGCAGCATCAGCCTAGATTACACATTCACATTTCAACAGTAGGGTGTGAATCCACAATCCTCTGACTGAAAGATAAGAGAGCTGTGATGGGGCTAAGGCTGACAACATTATCCATGTTATTCCTCCCTTTACCAAGCCCATCGATAGCAAAGCTCCTTTGGGTTAAAAAAATGGATCAGTGCCAATGACCATTGGTGCTGATTTTAAACAGGACACTTTAGAAACCCAATAACAGCAATGAGAGATATGACAGTGAGTATTCAATTATGCCCTGTTAGCTGTTTCAGATCTTTTGGTGGCACAAATGGTATAAGTTTTATTTAAAATAAAAGGTTAACCCTGCATTCCTAAAATTTCAGGGGTAGCACAGATCAAGGCATTTGTAGTTTGGTTTGTGTAGTTTGTGGGTAACTGGATGTATGGGTAATAAAACAGGATAAATATGAGCCCGGCTGGCACCTTAAGCAGGATAAATGCCAACTTTAACAATGCTAACTCAACAGAATAAAGCCTTCATGAGGGGAAAAGAGGTTGGATGATTTGTCTAGCTTGGGGCAACAGGACAAACTCTATCGTAATGAAGGATAGTTAGTCTGAGTTGCAGCTGAAGCTCCAGAATCAACCAGAGAGATGTTTGTAAGCTCAGAAAGACAGAAAGGATTTGCTAAGACTGTAAACCAGCTGTGAACTAGACCAGAATACCATCAGAATCCAGGGGTATTTTTAATTTTTTGTTCAAGGTAACATGCACGAAGTGTAAGGCTTGGCCATGTACTGAAGAAAGCTGCAAAGATTTACAAGGCAACTGGTCAAAACTTTGAAAAGTTTCCAAGTAAGTGGATAACCTTCAAGAACCTCATATGTAGGCAAAGACTTTCTAAGGGAGATTGATACATGAAAAGGGGATGATCAGGACAGGATTTCATTTTAATGTGTGCACCTGACTGTGTTTTATTGTACCAAAGTGGTATTTATTTCACACTGTTTTAATTGACTCTTGCATAGTTAATTTTACTTGTTTGAACCATGGAATTTGGGGGCTTTGTTCTTTTCACAAAGAACTGGGATTTTTAAAATTTCTCTTTAAACATTAATATTTTCTATGGGAATTGGAACATATGGAGGTATACCAATCCATGAAATTTGGTGGTAAGTGGTAATCAGCAAGATACTTCCTGATCCATGTTTGAGTTGATGCCCTGTTGAGGACCTCCAGGGTCACTCTCACTTGACTCACTACCACTGTACTGTCATTTCTGGTACATCTGCTCTGCCAACAGGCTAAGAATTATTAAGGAGACTGGTGATGGAGAACACTGGGAATGTGATGAACAAGTATAATTCAGTAAGTATGACCATACCAGGCTGTTGCCTAACTAGTCGGTTGGGCAATTTTGGTAAAGGACCCCAGAGGTTAGCAAGGAGGTTTCTGCAGGATTGATATGACTGGGTGGTACATCTTTTGTCCTTTTCAAATATTTTGTAGCCAATTGATACAACCAAGTGGCTCGCTGCACCACTTCAAAGTGCAATTAAGAATCAACCTCATTGCTAGGAGTCTGAGATCATATATTAGCAATACTGAGTAAAGATGGCAGATTTCCTTCCTTGAAGGACATTAGTGAACCTGATGGGTTTTTAATGACAATCCAGTAGCTTCATCGCCAATACAGAGATTATTCCATTTTGTTTCAGGTTTGTTTAATTCACTGAATGTAAATGCCCAGCTATCATGACATTTGAAATGTTCACAATCTTATATCTTTGCATCATTCACCTAGACTTCTGCACTGTTTATCCAATAACATGACCACTATGTTATGGTACCTGGAATACTCAATGCTAGTTCAACAGATATTACACATTTCTAATTTCTTTACCATTCTCTATTCTTTGCACGCAGCGACTGAACGTGCAAAAAGTAACCACGAAAAATACCACACAAATCAAAATAGTATTGCTGTGCAGCAAGGGCAACTTGTTTTAGCGTCATTTCTGACACACTGACCACAGAAATTGCCCAACATTGCATGTGCGACATAACAGACTGAAATCACAGATTTTGGAAGAAACATCTCTCCTTGTTGAAGGGATCAATGAGCAGGGGCATAGATTTAAGGGAAGGGGCAGGAGGTTTATGGAAGATGTGAGAAAAACCTTCATCACCCAGAGGGTGGTGGGAATCTGGAACTCACTGCCTGGGAATGTGGTAGAGGAGAAGCCCTCATAGCATTTTAGAAGTACTTAGGTGTACACTTGCAATACCAAGGCATTCAAGACTATAGGCCAAGTGCTGGAAAATAGGATTGGAAAAGTTAGGGTTCTATTTTTGACTGGCGCAGACTCAATGGGCCAAAGGGCTTTTTTCCATGCTATAAACCTCCATGAATCTATTTTGAAGATGGCAGGGCTTTGAACACAGAATAAGGAAAACACTTGCATTGAATAATATGCAGAAAACCGGAGCTAGCATTAGACGGAAATCTGACAACTGCTCAGTCACAAGCTGCTCATCAGGAAATGAAAGAAGATCACTTCTCCACTAGTTGCATGAATGAAGCATCATCATTCAGGACAAATGACCATGTATTTAGAGAAAGTGAGGAACTGTTAATACAGGAAATTACCTTCGGAGAATATGATGCAGGTTAAGCCTGGGGTAATCAGGTAAATTGCAGCAGCTAATCTCTTGGCACAGAAATGACAAATGAAATAGGACATGTCCATTTTCCATACCACTTCTGTTTACAGCTTTTCAGGTTTCGACAGACAATTTAGTGATAAAGTCCTGCAAGTGTTTCTTTCCCTACACACTTTGGAACTGGAGTGAAAACTTCTCAGTCCTTTTACACATTTCATAAGTCTTTGAAAGACCAGACCCTCACATTCGTCTAATCTGCATAAAAACATTCCACAACAACTTCCATTTACATAACTTAAGGGCATTATATAATTTATTGAGGGTAGGCAATTGATGCAGAGACCCAGGTAATGTTTTGGGGAACCAGGTTCAAATCCTGCCATGGTAGAATTTGAATTCAATATTAAAAAAAATCTGGAATGAAAAGTCTAATGATGACTTTCAAACTGTTGTCGATTATAGAAAACTCATCAGGTTTACTCATCTTACGGAAGTAAATTCTGGCTTACACATGACTCCAGACCCACAGCAATGACTTTAGGGATAGACAACAAACACTGGCCTAGGCAATGATGCCCACATCCCGTGAATGAATAAAGACAAAACTTAGCCTATTAAACTTGTTCCTCTATTAAAATGTGCCGAGGAGCTCACAGAAGTGTCAGCAAACAAAATTTGACTCTGAGTCCCAAAGACAGAGCAAAGGTTTGGACAAAGAGGTAGGTTTTAAGGAACAACTTAAAAGGAGAGACGTAGAGATGTGGGGAGAGATTTCCAATTCATGGGTCTCAGACAACTGAAAGCACAGTCACCAACAGTACAGCAGTGAAAATCGGGAATGTGCAAGAGGCCATATCAGGGAAGAGTAGGAAATGTCAGAGGGCTATAGTACTGAAGACTGTTGCAGGATTAGGGAGAGTGCTAAGACCATGAAACTTTTCATAAACAAGGATGAGAATCAACAGACAATCAATCTTTCAGTTCAACAGTAAGTATAATAGAGATGCTGATGTAGTAACAATGTGCTATCTACCTGTGATTGGTGGATTGAACCCAACAAGAAGGGACAATGCAGCAGGGATTACATAGGCAACCTATTGAATAAAAGAGGCCAGTTAAAGGTGATTTTATGGTGAGAAGTTCCTTTGTTTTTTGATCAATATCCACAAATAACACAAATGTTACTGAACAATTCTTTAAAAAAGGCCAATCCGTAAACAAATATACTTACAATCCAAATTCCTGCATCTGGATCATTAATCTGCGACAAATGAGAGAAAAAAATACATTTTTGAGAAATGTTTTGAGATGGAATCATATAGAATTATAGAATTTTACAGTATGGAAGGAATGGAGATCTACAATTGTTCATTGCTTTGCTATTTAATTTCAATTACAGTACAAAGTGACTGAATGCATTTATGGTAAGATGAAACGATGTCAAAAAAACATTTGGCAACTTGCGGGTTCAGAGATTTCACACTGGAGGTTCATTAATGTGGTGGTAAGTGACTGTGTCGGGATCATTTATTTATGTACCAGTGGTTTAAATAGTCATACAAATTTAACAACATAAACCTACCTTCAAATTTCTGGGACCTGCACACTTCCTAGATTTGCTTAAAATTAAACTGCCATTAAAGTCACTATTAGTCCCAAAGCATCATGGGGCTGCTCTCTCAATAGATAGAGGTGACTGTTGGTGAGTTTGAACCAAGGGTCACTGTGCCTTAGTTCAGGGCAAAGGTTGAGAAGGTGAGACCTTCACGGTGACCTCAGCCATTACTGGAATTGAACCCTCATTGTTGGCATCGCACTGCACCGCCAACCAGCTGTCTAGCCACCTGAGCTAACCAACCTCCAAAAAACTGCCGTTAATAGTTAAGATGCTGAAATTTAAGCAATACACAATGGGAAACAGTAGGGTGCACTGTTTACCTTACTGTGAGGAGGCCCTCAGTACATGCAAAGTACAACAGTGTATATGTTGATGGTATCTCCAGCATAAACAGTTTAAAGTTCACAAAACTGTAATTACATCCAGCTTGGTATTTAGTTTTGACTTCTGGGATTCTCATTACCTTTACGTATCCATTCTTCCACTCCCCTAAATCTCATCTGTATATCCCACCAAGATAAACTTAATAAAAATTGAGTTTTTTTTTCATTTTTCCAGCTAAGATACATATTAAAATTATAAGTCTAATTAATAAAGTTATTCCAAACTATTAACTACCTCTACATGAGTTACTTTATAATGGCTCACAGTTTACAGCCCCAGCAGTGCTTTAGTACCAGTAAACACAACAAATGGTCATTAAACATTGAAAATAGGAGCTGGAGTCGGCCATTCAACTCTTCGAATCTGCTCAACCATTCAATATGATCATGGCTGACCATCCAACTCAGTACCATGTTCCCAACTCCTCCACGTTTCCTTTGATTCCTTTAGTCGTAAGAACTGTATCTAACTCCTTCTTAAAAACATTCACTGTTTTGGCCTCAACTGCTTTCTGTGGCAGTGAATTCCACAGGCCCACCACTCTCTGGATGAAAAAAATTCTCCTCATCTTAGACCTAAATGAGATACCCCACATCCTTTGGTAATGACCCCTCGTTCTGGGGTCCGTGGTCATTGGGAGCATCCTTCCTGTGTTTACGCTGTTACATCCTGTTAAAATTTAAACCTTTCCATGAGACTCCCCCCTCATTTTTCTAAACTCCGGTGAATATAGTCCTAATTGATTCAGTTCTTTCTCCATATTCCTGAAGATTAAAGTAAAATATTAAAGGTTATCACTTTTTCACCAACTTAATTTGTTGTGAACACACTTGAAACATGTCCATGGTTAAGTGTCATATCTATAATTATATTGACCTGACACAATCTTGGCCTTTTTCCAGCTAGAATGTTGATGTCACAAAGATTAGTTCATAATTTAGGAACTTAACCTTATAAAGGCTCAGACTAACACAAATAATGAAATAGCATAAGGAAAACATTGGACTTCAGATGATATATTTCCTTAGTGACTATTTTTTTTTGGCCATGGACAGACAAATCCTTGGTCATAAAATTCCCATCCATCTTTTCAGTTTGCACCATAGTCTTGCTCTCCCCCTCTATAAGCACATTCAGTACCACAACTTTTTCAGTTATCTATGCTTCCAGTTATCTAAGTCTTCCCTCTTCAACAATCTCAATTGCACGTCATTCAGCTGCCTGTTTCTAAGGTTCTGGCACTCCTTTAAATCTCTCTGACAAAATACATACCTCACATCCTTCCTTTAGGATGTTCCTTAAAGATCTACCCCTTTGGCCAAGCTTTTGCTAACTTGCTTTAATGTTGCCTTTTGTTTCTTAATGCATTTTTCGTAAAATTCCTGCATGCAGTGCCTTGGGATGCTGAGGACGTTTAAGGTGTTATATACATATACAGTCATTATTGCTGTCTGTGTTGTCAAATCTTCCTCTATTTTGCCATAAAATCAACCCTGATTGAAAGCCTCATGCTACACATGAGTTGCGTTATAATGGTTCATGGTGCGCTTAGTCTACAGCACCAGCATTTTTTCAGTACCAATAAAAATGACAAATGGTTATTAAACATGGAAAATAGGAGCTGGAGTAGGCTACTTGTTCCTTCGAGCCTGCGCGCCTTTCAATATGATCACAGCTTATCATACAACTCAGTACTCTGTTCCCACTTTCTCCCTAAGCCCCCAATCCCTTTAGTCCTAAGAATTATGTCTAACTTCTTCTTGAAAACATTCTATGTTTCAGCCTCAGCCACTTTCTGTGGCAGAGAACTCCACATGCTGGATGGCAGTCAAGGCATGGCATAATGGTATGGTCAGTTTCTGTCTCTGTGAATTGCTGTGCAACAAATCTGTTGTAATTAAATCAGTGTGAGCCAGAAGCCAAGGACAATGCATTCCATCAAAAGGAAGTGACACTGTCAAAAATGAAAGGGACGCATGTCAATCTCAACATAATGAGGAGAGGCATTGGCAAAAATGTTGGGAATTGTAAACAAGAACATGAATTTAAAAATATGACTGCAAGGGCAAAACTTATTGAAGTTTACATTAGACTTGTTGTCAAAGCGCATGTAACACTATATAGCCTGTTCATAATATGTTCCAGAGGTACTACAGAATAGCTAATAAGCCAGAGTTATTTCAGAAGTTCACTGTTCACCAGACTTTGAACTGCAAATATGCATGTCAATGACTTTGGTGTCACCAGAATTTTCTACAAAAGGTACATCTGCATAAAAATCTCGGTTCCAGAAAAAGCACCATCCCAACCCCCTCCACAATGAACTTTCAGCACTCTGTCAATATCACGCTTTGTTTCTGGCATTGTAATGAACCATGGGCACATGTTCTGTACTTTGTACACTAAACTAAAGCTTCAAACAAATCTATAATGCAGAGTACAAAAATATTCTCTGTCTTTCTTTCCTGCTTATTCTGATGACCTAGTTCCATAGCAGCTGACAGCTCCCTGGTACCTCAGCCAAGTTGCTATTCCTATAAAATGAGCGTCTGTAAGCTACTTTCACAAGAGATGAACATAGAAACAGAATAATACAGCACAGGAATACGTCCCTTGGCCCACCTTGTTTGTGCCGACCACGATGCCATTCTAAATTAATCCCATCTGCCTGCACATGGTCCACATCTCTCTATTCCCTGCCTATTTACATGTCCGCCTAAATGCGTCTCAAATGTTGTTATCATATCTGCTTTTAACACCTGCCCTGACAACATATTCCAGGCACCTACCACCCAATGTGTAAAAAAAATTGGCTCGCACATCTTCTTTAAACATTTCCCCTCTCACCTTAAACCAATGCTCCCTAGTATTTAACATTTACACCCTTAGGAAAAAGACTTGGACTATCCATCTTATCCAGGTCTCTCATAATTTATATACTTCTATCAAGTCACCCCCTCAGCCTCCGATGGTCTAACAAAAACAATCCAAAATCGTACAACCTCTATTTATAGCTAATAACCTCCAATCCAGGCAACATCCTGGTAAACTGTTTTTACACCCATTCCAATAATCTCGTACTCACTTGTAGCCACACATAGCATCAACTGTGAGTTGTTATACACCACCTTTAAAGTTCATAGAGTCAAAATCAGGACAAAATTTAACAGTTCTTTACATAAAGAGATATTTGGGAGGCTGAGTAAAAGATTGGTCAGAGAAGTGGGTAATGTCTTAAAGAAGGAGAAGGAGCTAAAGAGATTTAAGGGAATCCCAGAGTTTAGAACGCAGGCAGCTGAAGGGCACAGTCACAATTGGAGCTGGTGGAAAATGGAATGCACGAAAGGCCAGAGGTGGAGGAACAATGATGATTCTAGGCTCAGAGAAATTACAGCGAAAGGCTATAGAGGGCTTGGAGCAAACTGGTGAGATCTTTAAATTTGAGGCATTGTTGGGCTGGAATCTAATAAAGGGTCAGTGAGTGCAGGGCTGATGGTAAATTAGATCCAGTGTGCATTTAGGATATAGAGCAGCAGAGTTGAATGTAAAATTAAGTTTACAAATGCTGGAAAATGGGAGAGTGGACAGGAGATTATAGGAGTAAGTGAGTTTGAAGGTGGCAACAGCATTGATAAGGGTTTCAGATCTTTGCAGCTACAATTCTTGGTAAAACAGATTGGAGAAAGAACCTCAGTCCATTCCTCCTGTCCATCTGTCCCCTTGACATAAAGGCATGGAATATAAGAGCAAAGAGGTTATCCTGCAACCGCATGAAACATGGTTGAATCAAATCTGAAGTACTGTATGCAGTTCTGGTCACCGCATTATAAGAAGGATATGATTGCACGAGAGACAGTGAGAGCAGAGGAGATTTACCAGGAAGCTGCCTGGGCTGGACAGTCTGACATATGAGGCAAGATTAGACACATAGAAATATAGAAGCATAGAAACATACGTAAATGATCTGGAGGAAGGTATAGATGGTCTGATTAGCAAGTTTGCAGATGACACTAAGATTGGTGGAGTAGCAGATAGTGAAGGGGACTGTCGGACAATGCAGCAGAATATAGATAGATTAGAGAGTTGGGCGGAGAAATGGCAGATGGAGTTCAATCCAGGCAAATGCGAGGTGATGCATTTTGGAAGATCCAATTCAAGGGCGAACTATACGGTAAATGGAAAAGCCCTGGGGAAAACTGATGCACAGAGAGATCTGGGTGTTCAGGTCCATCGTACCCTGAAGGTGGCAACGCAGGTCGATAGAGTGGTCAAGAAGGCATACGGCATGCTTTCATTCATCGGACAGGGTATTGAGTACAAGAGTTGGCAGGTCATGTTACAGTTGTACAGGCCTTTGGTTTGACCACATTTGGAATACTGCGTACAGTTCTGGTCGCCACATTACCAAAAGGATGTGGATTCTTTGGAGAGGGTGCAGAGGAGGTTCACCAGGATGTTGCCTGGTATGGAGGGTGCTAGCTATGAAGAGAGGTTGAGTAGATTAGAAAGACGGAGGTTGAGGGGGGACCTGATTGAGGTCTACAAAATCATGAGAGGTATAGACAGGGTGGATAGCAAGAAGCTTTTTCCCAGAGTGGGGGACTCAATTACTAGGGATCACAATTTCAAGGTGAGAGGGGAAAAGTTTAAGGGAGATATGTGTGGAAAGTTCTTTACGCAGAGGGTGGTGGGTGCCTGGAACACGTTGCCAGTGGAGGTAGTAGAGGCGGGCACGATGGCGTCATTTAACATGTATCTAGACAGATACATGAATGGGCAGGGAGCAGAGGGATACAGATCCTTGGAAAGTAGGCAACAGGTTTAGAGGATCTGGATGGGTGCAGGCTTGGAGGGCTGAAGGGCCTGTTCCTGTGCTGTAATTTTCTTTGTTCTTTGAAGATAACAGCAGGAGGAGGCCATTGAGGCTTCTTACCAGAGAGGCTGGAGTTATTATCTTGGAAGAGCGAAGGTTGAGAGGTGCACTTTTCTATTGGCAGAGCGGCCAATAACCAGATAGCATAGATTTCAGTTAAAAGGCAGAAAGCTAAGAGGAGGGTTGAGGTGAAATTTCTTCAGCAAAAGGGTGGTGAGAGTCTGGAAATCACTGCCTGAAAGGATGGTTGAGTCTCCCTTATTTAATTTAAGCAGTATTTGGATATTCACTTGCATTGCCATAGCCTCCAGGGCTATGGGCAAAAGCTGGAAAGTGGGGTTAATGGCGTAAAGACCATATCTTTTCATTTTACTATATTTTTGATTGTGATCTACAATGGGGAAAAAACTGTTTGAAAAACCAAGGATGGTGGAAAGGATTGCTGCAAGTTTCCAAAGTACGCTAACGAACACTCATTGTAAGTGCTGTTTACACTGCTGATTGATCCGGCTGGTGGGGCAGAGGGCGGTGTCTATTTGCACTTATGATGATGCAGTGTTCACCATCACAGCTGTGGAACTGACAGCATTTTTAGGTAACTGCACAGCAAAGGGTGTGCGTGAATGGAGATTTGGCCAGCAACATGTAGCTGATTGATCTGGTGACTGGTGTCCCATTGTTTGTGACAAAGGCCTTTTGGTGGACAACAACTATGTAACTGGCTCCCAGGTAGACTAACAGCTTGTGGGTGTTCATGTTTGGGCAGAAGCCATCTGACTTCCAGCAAGGTAGGAGCTGTCCTTTCTCTCTGCAGTAAAAAGCACCTCAAGCCTGAAGAAAGCCAGTTTATTCACAGAATCCCTACAGTGTGGAAACAGGCCATTTAGCCCAACAAGTCCACACCACCCCTCCAAAGAGCATCCCACCCATACCCAGCCCCCTACCCCTGCATTTCCCCATGTCCAACCCACCTAACCTAAACATCCCTGAACACTACAGGCAATTTAGCATGGCCAATCCACCCACCCTGCACATCTTTGGACTGTGGGAGGAAACCCACACAGACGGGGAGAATGTGCAAACTCCACACAGACAGTCACCCGAGGGTGGAACTGAACCCAGGTCCTTGGTGCTGTGAGGCAGCAGTGCTAACCACTGAGCCACCATGCCACCCTTTATCTTCCCTCATCAGTTGCTGTAAGCTGTGGCTCTTAAATAATAAGTCAGAGACCTTATAAGTGTGAGCCAATCATTCTTTGCTTCTTGCAAACAAGTGAACATACCTGGAGAAGGAGCAGCAGATGCTGACCAGCCAAAATGAGCATCTCAGCAAAGTCTGTGGACATTGAACTGCCTCCCCAGTCTGTCCCTCCACCCATGATACCCATGTACTTGTGTCTGTCTGTCTGTATCTGTGTGTAAGGGAGTTTTATAATAGAGCTGGTGTTTTAATAAGTAGACTTCATAATTGTTTGTCTGTCATCAACGTTTCCTCTAATTTTCTTTCTGGTTGTGTGGGTCTCCAAGATCCAAGCACAGCAGCAACTTCCTGAACCAGATGTCAATGCTGAGATCAGTGTGCTGACACATAATCATACTCAGATCTTAACGTGCACCTTAGAGGGAACATTGCAGGTAGAATCTATTTGGTTGTAATAATTGGGACCATTGTTAGATACAGAAGCTGGCTCGAGCTTTCTGTCAACCTGGGTCTGAAAGAAAAGTAAACTGGGGGATTTTGCAAACTTTAATAAAATCTTTAACTTTTGTAATGACTCAGTGCACTACCTCAATGTAGTCAGATCTTTATTGACAGGCACAGATGTGATGGCTGTAAACATCCATGAGTAAAGCTGCTCAAAGGATTATGTTTTATAGTGTTGTGGACTAGACCAGTTTCCCTCAAAATCTTTTAAGAAGTCGCCTAGACCCTTACGATTTCTTATTTTAAAAGTAAATGTAAAGTGCTGGGTTCAGATGCAATTCAACTGTTTAAATTACTCGACGTTAAGCAAAATACAATTTATTCAAAAACTACAGTTAAAATACAAAAGGAAAGAACTTAGAATAACTTAACTCCATTGAAAAACTTAACAGGATAATAGATACGGTAACAATTACTAATTAACTGTTCCTATATAGTAACATCTCATAAACCCATAATCCCATAAGTCCCTTGGCAAAAATAAAGGCAAAGTCGGAAACAGATTGTCTCACATGCAATCCACCCTGGAGAGAGAGAAAAAAAATCACATGATAACTCAAGAGACAATAGCAGCCAGGAGACATATACTACAGCTTCCAACCCTGTTGACACTCCAACAGAAACTGCTGCTCAATCTGAAAGCTAAAAAAACTAAAAACTAGAAATCCTGATCTGACAGACCTGGCCACACCCATCCAGGCTGCTTCTATTGTTCCAACTTTTAAAAAAAAAGGCCTCCCAAGTGGTTTAATTTTTGTATCTTTACTAGCCAGCTCGGTACCTCTGTATTAAAATCTCTCTTCAAAAAAGACCAGGATAAAATATACCTCTTAAAGCCACAGCATCATCACAATAAAGATCCTGAATGGAAAAGAGACAGGTAAAGAGTTTTAGAGAGAGAATTCCAGACTCTAAGATCTAGGAAGCTGAAAGTATAAACCAGCTATGAGATAATGATTAATCTATGATTCTATGGTTGAAGTCAGAAATCACACGACACCAGGTTATAGGCACTTCAACTGACGAAGGACCGAAAGCTTGTGATTTCGAATAAACATGTTGGACTGTAACCTGGTGTTGCGTGGCTTCTGATTTTGTCCACCCCAGTCCAACACTGGCACCTCCACATCTGTGATTGAAGCACAAGGGTCTCATGATCACTACACTCAGTGGAGGAAAAGGGATGATTGACAGGAACTTGTGGATTTCCATGTTAAATTGAGTATGTGCAGTTACCTAAGAATGATGTCAGTTTCACAGCTGTAGTGACGGTGAACAGAGTATCATGATAAATACCAGGACAAAATCCTTTCTCAGAATGATAAAAATAACAAAGAGCTCTTCCCTTAAGATTTACCAAATTTTTCTTGATGGCAAGCATCTCTTTAAACTCTTTATCTACAAAATAAGTTTCTTGTCTTTATTTGTTTTTCCAAGTGTTGTGATCCCAGATGATGGGACTACTGAATGAAACAAATCCCAGCACGAATCCTGACTTGGTAGATCATATGTTTGATTTTTTTGTTGTTTAGTTAATTAATATGGTGGTTAGGCATAACATTTTCAGAATTCCAATAGTCTTTCCTCCCTAATTCTAATATGAAGACTTATATCCCAAACTCCCCTGGCTTGGAAGTTTCACAAACTAGAAAAACACTGTTGCTCCAGTGACTGTTTTCGCTAAATTGAACAAACTGTGACTAACAGAAAACCTTTTCTCCTGGGGACTAAACTCTTGTTTTCTTCTGAGTGAAGTCAAAACCAACTCATGGCTTTGTTCTGTTTGCCTGTCGTAAACTAAAAAGTATAAAGATCTTCTCCTTTACCACCCAGGAGTCTGCCAGGCACTTGAATCCAGTGATACATCTTCTTCGAACAGGTTACCATTCAAGAATAACTCTCTATTTAAAAAGACATATACCAAAATAATCCACATCTTTTTGCCTTTAGTTCCAAAGCAATAATATTAATAATATTATATATTAAACATCTTTCATCAAAAAGAACTACAAATTACATTTATATAGCACATTTAACATAGTAAACAATCATTAAGACATTCCATGCGGACATTACATTTACATGACATCAGGTCATATAAAGAAGTTATCAAGTCAGACGATCAAGGGTTTTACCAGAGTGAGGGAGAGAGATGTGAAAAGAGAACTGCAGAGCTTGGGGGCTCAGGCAACTGAGGATGTGGCCAACAGCAATTATAATTAGGAATGCACAGCAACAGGTCACAGTTGTATGCAATTACTTTATTTCAAACTTGAAATGCTCTCATTTGGCCTGATGCAGTTGTCTAGTTACAGCTTAGTCTGGGGGTAGTCTCAAATGAGTTGGAATTATTCACTGTGAAGAAAATTGGCCAACAGCTTGGTCTACAGCGAACTCCTCCAGGAGTTGAAGTGGACAGAGACAAGCTGATGGTTGGCTCTCACCTATCAGAACAGAGGATTAGGCAAGTGCCAAGAATCTGGAGTGCTTTTCGAATCGTGAAGTTCGGAGTTGGGACTTTGGCATGTTGTCGTACTCCCTCTGTGTGGGATGAGGTTTCTTGTCCCGCAGACTTGCAAAGAATGGAAGATGACACTGACCTGCACATAGGCGGCGAGCGCAAAAAAGAAAGCCATGCAGAAATTGCAGGCTCTCCAGGAGAGGAGATAGAGGGGAGGTGAAGGGTTCGCATTCTGCAGAACTGCCTGGGATTTCACTGCCATATTCCTTCCGCTTTCTATTTCTACTGAGAAACAAACCCTGGGACGCCCGGCTGACGTACAGAGTGGGGACCACCCCTTACGCTTTGCGTGTCTTCGGGAGAACACAACTTGAAATTTCCCTGTTAGTGCGGGCAGCTTTCCTGAAAGATATTCTCCCAAAAAAAAACAGGTCCCCCGTGGACATTCACATCCGCACCTACAAAGCAGGCTGCAAATACTAACGTTCAAAGACAGTGAAAGTTGAGAAATGGGTCGGTGCCAAATGAAATCAGTAGAATCTATTTTGCAGAATAAAGCTCCAGCAGACGTTGTCTTGACCTGACCCAGACAATTTTTTTAAAAACCTATTTTGTGGTTAGCGTGACTTCTTGACGTTCAGACATCTGTTTGCCAGGGGCAGCTCAGAATTTAACTGGGCTTTTTCTAAAAAAAAATTGAACGTTTCTGATTTTTAATTCTGTCCATGTAACATGCTGTCACTGATCCCTGCCTCTGCAACCACCTCCAGTCCCACAACCCACCAAGACATCTGCTGCACTAGCTCCAGCCCTCTTCAGCGTCCCCAGCTTGAATTCTCCCATCAGTGGCACCATGTGACCAGTTGCCTGGTCTCCAGGCTCGAGAATTCCTCCCCACTCTCTGCCTCACTTCCCTTCTTTCAGACACTCCTTAAGTCAGAGAAATGTACAGCTCAGAAACATATTCTTCAATCTTTATAAGATTGTGAATAGCATGGATGGAGTGGCAAGTATGAGGCCTTTTCCCAGGGTGGAGGGGTCAATTACTAGGGGTCACAGATTCAAGGTGCAAGAGGGAAAGTTTAAAAGAGATGTGTGAGGCACGTTTTTCACACAAGGAGTGGTGACTGCCTGGAGCGACTGCCTGGAGCACACTACCAGAGGAGGTGGTGGAAGCAGCATTCAAGAAGCACCTGTATGAATATATGAATTGGAAGGGAATAGAAGGATACAGATCCTATAAGTGAAGGGCGAAGATGGAAGGGCAAAATATGTCACCGCAGGCTTGGAGGGGTAAAGGGGCCTGTTCCTGTGCCATATTGCTCTTTGTTCATTGTTTTTGTTTAATCCAACTTGCCCATTCTGACCAGATATCCTAAATAAATCTGGTCCCATTTTTCAGTTCTTGATACATATCACTTTAAACACTTCCCATTCACGTAGCCATCCAGATGCCTTTTAAATGTTATAATTATACCTGTCTCCATCACCTCCTCTGGCAACCCATTCAAAATATGCACACACTGCATGAAAAAGTTGCCCCTTAGGTCCCTTTTAAATCTTTTCCCCTCTCACATCAATGCCATCTAGTTTTGGACTCCCCTACCCTGGGAAAAAGACTTTGGCTATTCACCCTATCCACGTCTCTCATGATTTTACAAACCTCCATAAGGCCACCCCTCAGCCTCCGATGCTCCAGGCAAAATATCTCCAGCCTATTCAGCCTCTCCCCATAGCTCATACCCTCCAACCCTTGGAATATCCTTGTAAATCTTTTCTGAACCCTTTCAAGTTTCACAGCATCTTTCCTACAACAGGGAGACCAGAACTGTATGCAATATTTCAAAACTGGCCTAACCAATGTCCTGTACTGCTGCAGCATGACCTCCCAAATCCTATACCCAATGCACTGACCAATAAAGGCAAGCACACCAAATGCCTTCTTCACTATGCTGTTTACCTGAAACTCCACTTTTATGAACTATGAACCTGCAGCCCAAGGTCTCTGTTCAGCAACACTTCCCAGGACCTTACCATTAGGTCTATAAGTCCTGCCTTGATTTGCCTTACCAAAATGTAACACCTCACATTTATCTAAATTAAAATCCATCAGCCACTCCTCGGCCCATTGGCCCACCTGATCAAGGTCCTGTCGCACTCTGATATAATCTTCCTCACCGACCACTACACCACCAATTTCAATGTCATCTGCAAACTTACTAACCATACATCCAATTCATTAATATAAATGACAAAAAGCAGTGGACCCAGCAACAACCTTTGCGGCACACTGTTGGTCACAGGCCTCAGTCCGAAAAACAATCCTCCATCATCACCCTCTGTCTCCTACCTTCATGCCAATTTTGTATCCAAATGGCTAGCTCTCCCTGGATCTCTTTCACTCAGCTTCTAGCCTCTTAATTCCTTGTGTGGTTTGGTTTCATACTTTTGTTCTCTATTTCTCCTGCAAAGCACCATGCAATATTGTGATTTAAACAGTTGTTCAGTAATCTAGAACTTGACTTCTGCTGAAAACAGATAATTTCTGCTAAAACTTTTATTTAAAATATATAAAACTCTGAGAGACATGGAAAATTCAAGTAGTCAGAGTCTTTTTCCCAGGGTGGAAATGTCAAATTCTACGGTCATTGGTTTTCGATAAGACGGGAAAACATTTAAGGGAGATGTTTGAGGAAAGTTTTGTACACAGAGGGTGGTAGGTGGCTAGAACACACTGCCAGGGGAGGTGGTAGTAGTAGATACGACGTGAGAGGCATTTAGACAGATACGTGTAGAGGCAGGGATTAGAGGGATATGGATCATATGCAGCCAGTTGGGAATTAGTTTAGAATGGGCATCATGGTCAGCACAGTTGTGGTGGGCAGAAGGGCCTATTCCTGTGCTGTATTCTGTGTTCTATGTTCTTCATTTATCAGGACAATTTGCAAGAACACCACCTCAAAGGGAAAACAAACCTAAATACTCCATGACAGGAGAGTGCTGATTGATTGACAAGTGAACTTTGACTGATAGAGGCATTGCCACAGAGGTTGACAGTTAACTGCCAGGTTTTGTTTAAATTTTCAACCAGGCCAGTTAACTTATTGGGCAGGGCCTTGCCAGAGAAATGAAGCAGCAAATGGCTATCACTTATTTTGTTAAATAGAAACAGGCACAGTGTGTGTACATGTTCGCTGTTTCTAAAGATCAGGTTCTGTATATTAATAAATGTCACTTTCAGTACATGCAAATACACAGCACTGAAAGCTTATCTGACAATCCTAAATTGACTGTCAGTATAATACTTTGCTCACAAAGCACATCCAGCAAATGCTATTGAAATACAGAAACACATTGAATGTTGACCACTGTGTTGCGAATTTTGCAAGCACATAGATTGGTTGGACACTTGTGGACAGCCAAAGGGACATGCTGTTTGGTGCGATCCCCTAATCCTTGGGATGTACAGTTTACATACCTGGCATCACACTGGCACTGAAACTCATATACCACATTACTCATTTGTGTGATAGGCAGAACATCTATTTGCTTTACAGCAGCATCCTGTTAGTGGTGAAGGCCACGTGTGTTGCTATTGCATAGTAGCTCCCTTCACCTGTTGCTCAAACCTCTGAGATACCTTACCCACCCAAGATAACTTGAGATAGATTTTTCGGTATCCAGAGTGAACACCTTCATAAATGTACACAATTTGTAGTGAGAAATGAACAAGTCAGGTAGCCATTACTGTGCTTGGAGCTTTGCTACATCCTATTGCAGCATCAAGTTTGCAGAATGAACATATATGTGGTGGTATATATGAGGCTGCCAATAAAGCTAATTTTGTGTTATTTCATTTTGTTAAATGCATTACACAAATAAAGTTGTTGTAACACTGTTCATATTATTGATCTACAAAGATTGCTTAATGCTAATCAGTAAGTTATCAGTACTTTATTATGTCTGTTGGTTTACTCAGTCAAACCCTAGTCTAAGGTTGATGTTTTCCCAGGTCTATTATAACCCAGTCAGAGAAAACAGCCAGGTGCAATGTTATGCACAGCAAATGCAGTGGACTTGAGAGCTTTGTGAGCTGCCAAGCATTTTTTTTCCATAAAATCTGCAAGAAGAAATCACTGCAGCAAAAGAAGTGGGTAGAAAACAGGAAACGACACAAGTTACAGATATTTACAACCCTTGTCATGATCAGCTGTTTCAGTGTCAAGAGGACAGTCCTCTTCACTCAAGGCTACAAAGTGACCTTACAAAGAGCTCCCAGTGACTTTCAAAAAGCTGTTTTTAATTCCAGTTCAGCTACCAATGCTTTGTTTTGACACAGAACTGATAAAGATTATTAGGTGATATGACTGTATATTTGGAGAAGCATGTTGAAATTAGTCACAGCAAATTTCCAAGAATGGGAATTCATATCCAACTTGCTTTTGCGGTGCTTTTCACCAGTAGACGGCATAGACATACACTATTTTATATTTGCATACAGTAATTTAAAAATAATATAAAATATTACTCTTACAAAAGCGAATTATTTCAATTAGAAACCAGGGCAGTTGAGTTACTGCCAAAGTTAACTACAAAAACTGTTAACTGCTGCTCTTTGAAGCTATGTGGTCAACAATTAAAGATGATGGTTCTATCATTAAGATTGTTACATTTGCCTCCTCCCTTTGCAGTGTGAAGTTATAGCTGATTATATTGTACAAGTATAGCTGCTACTCACCCAACCATTCCAGATCTCTCTCTCTCTCTCTCTTTCTCTTCCCCTCCCATCTGCTCCAATAGACAGCTGAAGAAACAAGGGTCCTATAAAAGACTTCTGGAATCTATTGCTGACATTTAAATAAAAGTAACTAATTCAGATTTATAAATTCAGATTATGAAGATCCCTCACTAAGTATATATGTAACCAGTGAATCCACTATCCAATGCATGTTCTGTTTGAGAATGATTATTGTTGATCCTGTTTTAAAACCTAATTATATTTATAAATGACTAAGAAAGAGAATGGCCTGCCCTTTGCAGTGGGACAGAAATATTTTCAATTAACCCGTTCACATGCACTATGACACACCTTTGGGGCAGGTAGGACTTAAACCCAGAAACTTCTAGTCCAGAGGCAGAGACACCATTGTTGCATCACAAAACATACTATCGTGCAGTGATAACAGCATTCAAACTGTCAGCATTCACTGAAATTACTCCAACAAAACTGAGAATGTCTCCTGGAATCCGCATGTGAGCAAAATAACTCGGAAAT